TCGATACTGGAGCTCGGACACCCGTCAGAATCGCATCTGTCTTTAGAAGCATGTGATAGTATGTTTTTTTAGGTCTCGTTATCAGCTGTGTCGACAGCTATATGTAGCAGTGTTTCTTTACAGTGGATAAGGACTTGTGCCGATTCAAAGGCAGGCAGAGGCTTCCAGCCACAGGATTCTCGGGCATCCGTCTCTGCGGTTCTTGGAAAAAGTTGTTCCTTTCCCATCTTTTTCCTCCAGGGTCATCTGAGCCTGGCAGGCTCGCCTTCGGTCCCTCTTCAGTCATCTCGTTCAGCATTCTCTCGGTCCTCGTGAGGACTTTCTTGTCTCAGAGTTTTCTCTCCCTGTCCTGTCCCCTCGTGTCACGGGTGTCTGGGGGTATTTGGTCTGGAGCTGCTCTGCCCTGCCGCCCAGCCCGGTTGTAGGTGTTTAAGGATAAGTCCCGGGCACTTGTAATCAGAGACTTGTAGTACAGGCTGTAGTTGGAGTCTAGGTGGTATTCTTATGTTGGCAGAAGGTGTTTGGAGCTGTGAAGTTACCCTGCAGCACTTTGACTTTTTTCCTAACTTTCTTTCAGAGGCAGACGGATTGACCTCGTGGCAGAGCGCCGCATCCCAGATGAGGGGGTCCCCCTGAGAAGGTTGGTCACGGTTTTACTTTGCAGCGGGGCTGGAACCGGTCACTGTGTTACAGCTCTACTCTTTGTATTTATTTCTAGGAAGTAAAGCCAGAAATCAGCAGGGAAGGCGAAGCAGGTGGAAGGTGAGCCTCAGTTGGTGAAGAGAAGCAGTTGTTCTTGCTGGGGTCTCAGTTTTTGGTGCAACTCCCTGCTTGTTTGTGTGTTTTAGGCTGCCTCCTGATGCTGTGCTGAGACCCCCTCACTGACCTGCCAGGAGACCCGGTTTGCTTCTCTGGTGAGCCCCAGCAAATAATAGCGGAGTCCGTGACGGAGCCTCGACCTCGTCCACGTGTCGGTGCGGTCCGGGTACCCTTTAGGTGCGGCCGAGGAGTCACGGTGAGTCGGGGACGTCGCCAGGAGCAGCGAGGGCGCGCTCAACTTTTAGCGATGCTCCATTGCCTCCTCTCCATTTATCCTAGGCGTACCCTGCGACGATGGCATCCACCCCGGAGCGTGGCCAAAGCGTGTGGCCGGAGGACCTGGGAGTTCCCAAGAGACGGTGAGTAGGAGTTGGGTTTTGGTGAATATGCCACTAAGATTGTGCTCTTATATTTGGTTTTCTTTATCATAGGTGATGATACTTGTCTGAGACAACAGCCTGGTGAGAGAAGAACTTCCCAGACAGCGAGGTGGCTTTGTTTGGCTCCTGACCGGCCTCTCGCTGTGACTCACATCTTCAGCCCTCTGAGAGATAAGTGGAGCCCGCAGAGGGGATCAAAGCAGGGTGGGGGGTCGGGACTGAGATCGGTTTGGGTTTTTGAGTGAGCTTTGGCGATGGGGAGGTTCTGGAAATGACCCCATAGGCCCCAGTGAGGGAAAGCCTCACTTTGGTTTGCAATGCTGAGGCAGGCAGGGCAGAGCAGTCCCAGGGTGTGTTGTCACTTGTCTCTCGTGCCTTCTGTGTCTTATGTGCATCTTGTGTAACATCTCTATTGCCTTAGCCCTCCCAGGGGCTTATGAGAAACCCCAGGGTCATTCCGTTCATCTCCCATCTTTGCGTTCCTTGGCCCGACGCTGGCGAAGCTTTGATTTGGGAGCTCTGACACGCGTCAGATTCGCATCTGTCTTCAGAAGCACGTGATCGGATGTCTTTTTAGGTCTCGTTCTCAGCTGTGTCGACAGCTATATGCAGCAGTGTTTCTTTACAGCGGATAAGGACTTGTGCCAATTCAAAGGCAGGCAGAGGCTTCCAGCCACAGGATTCTCGGGCATCCGTCTCTGCGGTTCTTGGAAAATAGTTGTTCCTTTCGCATCTTTTTCCTCCAGGGCCATCGGAGCCCGGCAGGCTCTCCTTGGGTCCCTCTTCGGTCATCTCGTTCAGCATTCTCTTGGTCCTCGTGAGGACTTTCTTGTCTCAGAGAATTTTCTCTCCTTGTCATGTCCCCTTGTCTCACGTGTCATGGGTGCCTGGGGGTATTTGGTCCGGAGCTGCTCTGCCCTGGCGCCCAGCCCGGTTGTAGGTGTTTAAGGACAAGTCCCGAGCACTTGTAATCGGAGATTTGTAATACAGGCTGTAGTTGGAGTCTAGGTGGTATTCTTATGTTGGCAGCAGGTGGTTGGAGCTGTGCAGTTACCGTGCAGCACTTTGACTTTTTTCCTAACTTTCTTTAGGATGCAGATGGATTGACCTCCTGGCAGAACACCTGTCCCAGATGAGGGGGTCCCCCTGAGAAGGTCAGTCACGGTTTTACTTTGCAGCGGGGCTGGAAGCGGTCACTGTGTTACAGCTCTGCTCTTGGTATTTATTTCTAGGAAGTAAAGCCGGAAAGCAGCGGAGAAGGCAAAGCAGGTGGAAGGTGAGCCTCAGTTGGTGGAGAGAAGCAGTTGTTCTTGTTGGGGTCGCAGTTTCTGCTATAACTTTAATCCCTTGGTTTTTTTTATTTTAGGTGGTCTACTTGCAAGATATCCCAGCCCAGGATGCTGGAGGACAGGTGGGTGCAAGCTGTGTGTGTTTAGGTGTTTAATTCCCTGGTTTGCTGCTAAACTTCAGTTCTGCAGATAGATAGAATGAAAGAACCACATCACAAATCCCACCTTGTGCATCCTGACACACATTGGTGTCAGGGACAGGATTCTGAGAGACAGAAGGGGTTGCAGGTTTATCGTGCAGTCAGTATCAGGGGAAAGACGTTTCGCCTCAGCCGCCCCTAGCCTGCCACGTCGGTGAGCAGTGTCTAGAAAGCAAGGGAGGTGACTCGAATTTTTTAAAAACAGCACATGCCTCCGGGCAAAGCACCCCACACTCGTTTGAGGGCTCTGTCTTCAGAACTTTACAGGGGATCTTTGAGTATGAGAAGTGGGACTGAGAGGTTTTTCTGTTTAAAGTCCCTGGTTTGCTGCTAATCTTTAGTTCTCTAAGATAGAAGGAAAGAACCACATCACAAATCCCACCTTGTGGATCCTGACACGAATCGGTGTCACGGACAGGATTCTGAGAGACAGAAGGGGTTGCAGGTTTATCGTGCAGTCATTATCAGGGGAAAGACGTTTCACCTCAGCCGCCCCTAGCCTGCCATGTCGGTGAGCAGTGTCTAGAAAGCAAGGGAGGTGACTCGAATTTTTTGAAAACAGCACATGCCTCCGGGCAAAGCACCCCACACTCGTTTGAGGGCTCTGTCTTCAGAACTTTACAGGGGATCTTTGAGTATGAGAAGTGGGACTGAGTGGTTTTTCTTCTGTTTCAGTCCCTGGTTGGCTGACAAGCTTTTGTAGTCCAAGATGGAATAAAGGAACCACATTGGGAATTCCACCTTGTGCATTGTGACAGTAACTCAGTGCTTTTTTCTTTTCTGTCTTTGCAGGAGTCGGTGTTGCCCCGAGCCTGGCCAGGAGCAGAGATGAGCAGGTGAGTTGGCATTTTGAAGTTAAGTTAGAGGACAGGGCTGTAGTGGGATAGGCCCCTCTGAAGCCAAGGGAGAGGGTTTCTTTGCAAGCTCCCCAGAGCTTTTGCCGGGCAGGGCATTTCCAATCCATCTTCTCGTTCTCTCACATTTCACGTCATCGGCCATCTCAGCCTCTTGACGTCGTTGTGGATTTTTTCGTCCGAGGAACCGGCCTTCGCATCCGCAGTTATCGCCACGTTCACCCGGCAGACATCGCCTGCGACTGCCTTGTATTGTGCCTGCCTCTGTAAAACTAACTGCATTGTGCCTGCCTCTGTAAAACTAACTGCATTGTGCCTGCCTCTGTAACTTAACTTTAACTGCGTTGTGCCTGCCTCTGTAACTTAACTCTAACTGCGTTGTGCCTGCCTCTGTAACTTAACTCTAACTGCGTTGTGCCTGCCTCTGTAAAACTAACTGCATTGTGCCTGCCTCTGTAACTTAACTGAACTTTAACTGCGTTGTGCCTGCCTCTGTAACTTAACTGAACTTTAACTGCATTGTGCCTGCCTCTGTAACCTAACTTAACCTTAACTGCATTGTGCCTGCCTCTGTAACCTAAGTTACCTTAACTGCATTGTGCCTGCCTCTGTAACCTAAGTTACCTTAACTGCATTGTGCCTGCCTCTGTAAAACTAACTGCATTGTGCCTGCCTCTGTAACTTAACTGCATTGTGCCTGCCTCTGTAACTTAACTCTAACTGCGTTGTGCCTGCCTCTGTAAAACTAACTGCATTGTGCCTGCCTCTGTAACTTAACTTTAACTGCGTTGTGCCTGCCTCTGTAACTTAACTGAACTTTAACTGCGTTGTGCCTGCCTCTGTAACTTAACTCTAACTGCGTTGTGCCTGCCTCTGTAAAACTAACTGCACTGTGCCTGCCTCTGTAACTTAACTTAACTGCACTGTGCCTGCCTCTGTAACTTAACTTAACTGCACTGTGCCTGCCTCTTAACTTAACTGCTCTGTGCCTGCCTCTGTAACTTAACTTTACTGCACTGTGCCTGCCTCTGTAACTTAACTTAACTTTAACTGCACTGTGCCTGCCTCTGTAACCTAACTTAACTTTAACTGCATTGTGCCTGCCTCTGTAACCTAACTTAACTTTAACTGCACTGTGCCTGCCTCTGTAACTTAACTGCATTGTGCCTGCCTCTGTAACTTAACTGCATTGTGCCTGCCTCTGTAACTTAACTGAACTTTAACTGCGTTGTGCCTGCCTCTGTAACTTAACTTAACTTTAACTGCGTTGTGCCTGCCTCTGTAACTTAACTTAACTTAACTTTAACTGCGTTGTGCCTGCCTCTGTAACTTAACTTAACTTAGCTTTAACTGTGTTGTGCCTGCCTCTGTAACTTAACTTTAACTGCATTGGTTTGGAGCTGCCCTGCCCTGGCACATAGTTAGAGTTAGGTGGAACAATTATAAAAGGTTACAGTTTCTCTTTTCTATGAGGTTTTTGTGTAAAAAATGTGTGGGCCTAGAGGGTGGCTGAGTCATAGCTACCATAGAATCCCTCACTGACCACCTTGTGTTGTATTGCAGGTCTCTGATGCCTATTTTCTGAGGATCTACCATTTGATGTTGAGAAGCAGCAGTGAGAAGATATCTCAGGGCATTTTGTTCAGCAGAGTGTTTCAAATAAGGGTTGCAGTCACTGTGCGAGTTAGTCTCCTGCTGCGTGTCAGAGTGTGTCTGTCTGTGAGAGTCGGTGGGTCAGGGTCTGCTTGTGTGCATGTGTGTCGAGTGGTTCTAACCTGGTATGTATGGCTTTTGCTTTTCAGGACTTGCAATTCACTTTTAAATTTAGAATAAAAAATCCCCAGCTGGGGGGGTTTTTTTTTTCCCCCCCAG